AGCCATAGTATACGCTCACGCGCTTGTTATGCACGATCAGCTCAACGTCTATTTGTATATACATATATATATCAATATCTGTATATATGTATGTATGTATGTGTCTGAATTGTCGCGCTTTCTGACGGGGGGAGTTAGGCTTTGCTTTGAGCTTTACTTTACGTGTCTGTTTTCTGCTTCTTCTATAATATATGCGCCGTTGTTTATTTTATTTTTTTTTACTTCTCTCTACTTTGAGCAGTTATAAAGCAAAGCAGGTCGTTGACTTGGTTTTGAATTTTGATTTGATTTTTTGTGCTTATTAATTGAGTATTCGATATGCCGGAATATGGCAAACGATCTAAGCAAATGTAAATTTTATACAATTTTCGGTATCTACATATACAATGTATATTCATATAGTCATAATATAATAGCGACACGTGCAAAACACACGATGATCAGCTCGATGCACATTTGCTGTTTAGCACTCGAGTGTGAATTGATAGTGATTGACGTAGGGTATGATCGACTAGACTAATTAATTTTCACCATATCAAGTTGATTTCATTCGCAGCATTTAAATTCATCGATGACTTTTATTTGTCCATTATATGTATATTAATATGGATTAGAATTCCTGAAGCGCAAACTTGTTTCACCCCATTTCATTCGATAGTTTGTTGCGTTTCAATTTACCGATGACTTTATGCATATGATAATTACATAGAATATGATCGACCTATGCGCCACATTACATTCGGACTAGAGTTACAAAGACTTCTTAAAATTTTAGGAATCTCAAATTGAGTTTTATCATCATCAAATCACAGCCGCAGGGAAGGTTCCGTCGAGCCGTGTTGCCTGGTTTTACTTTGATTTTCTTCCTCTTCTTATGAGTTACCCTAAGCTCATTGAATTTCACGTAGGCGACAGACAATGCACAGCCTTTAGATCCTATATGTATATAGTAAGTATATACGAATGTATGTACATCCACTTTAAGGGTTGTTTTCTGCTAAGAGCACTTGAGTACTGTTTAGCTGATAAAGAAGAAAAGAGGAGAAGAAGACCTCATAAAAGAGATCAAATGTCAACTGGCAACACATGCGCATTGCTTTTGTAGTCTTTGCTCTGTGGCCCCGTAGCCGGAGGAGGTTTTCCAAGAAGAAGCAGCAGCAGCGTCTATAAGATGTAAGTGCATCCGCAGGTACGCATTTCCTTGTGCCCATTACTCCAGCGCTCTCCTTCCCGTTCCACTCAACTGTTGAGCACTTCGACTACCTGCTGATGCTGCCGCTGCCGCTGCTCGCTGAGGGGTCGTTCGGCCATCATTAACAGCGCAGCAGCAACAATACTATCTCTCTCTCTCTCTTTCGCTCTCTCTGCTTGCCTTGCAGCTGTGCATTCGAACAGGCCGTTAATCTTAATGCGCCGTGGCGGCTGTCGCTTCTGCCTTTTTATGTTATCAGATTTTTCTTACTTTTCTCATCGTTCGTTCTACTGCGCAGCAGCAACAGCAACAGCATCAGCATCAGCCAGAGCCGCATCCAGATCCACAGCCACTTGATGCACACAGCCAGCAGCCAGTGGCGTCGGCAGCGGGGGGTAGCATGTGCCTGCGGAAATTACTCATTAACTTAACTCTCAACAGCAGCAGAGGCAGCACGATTGCACTTTAAGCGTGAATCACTGCACGAGAGCGAATGAGAGGTACAGAAAGAGAGAGAAGAGAAGGAGCTATTGGAATTGCTCCTTTGATAGATCATATGTCTGCAGCGTATTTCCTCTTCTAATCTGAGCACATGCTGACGACTAACAAAGAGCTGGCTAAGCACGCACTTGACAGAGACCGAGAAGTTTACAATCCAATTAACAGTTAGGTAGGAATTTTGGGTGAGACATCGACAAAAAAAACTTGGTTTAATATATCAAATTTCTAAACTGTGATCATAATATAAGGAACTTGAATTCAAATACAACTGTTCGACTTCTGCTCTAGAATAACATAATAAATTTGAATATTTCATATGTCTATATGTTCCATATATAGAATTATTCTTATGATTTTGCTAAGACGCAAATGTTTTGTCTATTTTCACCCATCCTTTATTTACAAATCCACGAAAATCTTTAAATCAATCAATTACCGATAAGATTTTATATATACAAGACTAATATAAATAACAAGGTAATTATTTTGAAATCGACAAACCGTATAAATAATCGATAAATTATCGACACGTATACAGGATGTTCGCCTGCTTGGCTGTTCAATTTCCTTGGCCATTTTTTCAAACGACCCCATTTTCCTTGTCTGGCATTTCCGATCCCACACGCCTAGTCGTATCGTGGCGTGTTCCCCACTCACCTCATCTTGCCCCGTCCACTCAACAGTCAGGCAATTTCGCTCAAAGCGGAAATCTCTGCATAAGCAAAAATTCTTTTCACACACACGCAAAGACATGTATACAAACATTCCTGTGGCCACTCTCTCTCTGTTGCTCTCTCTGTCTGGCTCTCTCTTCTCGCTGCAGTTTCCTCTGCGAGCTTTAGCTTTTACATTTCTTATTTGCTGTCGCCTTTCTTGTTGTTGTTTTTGTTGTATTGAGATCTCTGCTGCCGCTGGCATTTTTCTAAACTGATCGTTTTATAATTTTTCGTTTGTAATTTCCGTTGAAACCGGTTCGCCATCATCCGCATACCTAACTACCTGTGCCTGCTGCCCCCTCCTTCTCCCCCTATCCCTCTCCTTTCTCTTTACCCTTTGTGCCTGATGTGTTCGTTCTCGCAAGCCGCGCCTCCTTCGCCGTTGCCGTTGCTCGCTGTCATCTTCGCTGGCTGAGATTTAGAATACACACATGCATACATACAAACACGCATTCGACCGATTGAATACATGTATGCATGTGTGTGTGCTTGAGTATTTATATTCTTATTCTTCTCGCATTGCGTGCGTCGCCGCGTTTTGTGTTCTGCTCTTGCCTTCTTTCACTTTGTTGCTGTTGCTTTTGTTGTTGTTGTTGCTGCTGCCTTTTGGTATGATGAACATTCATTTGTCATTTTACTACGTGCCACCGACTGGTTGAATGTTTATTTGTAATTATTGTTGTTGTTGTTGTTATTGTTGCTGTTGCTCGGAGCGGGCGAACATGTGTGTAGTACAATATGTATATGAATTTATTTTAGTCAAATTAAACCATATGTTGTTTGCGGCAACCAAAATAACACGTAGGATCGGTCATACATACAGACAATACAATACAATCACAGATATGCGTACACATATACATACATACATACATGCGTACATGCATATGTGTGTGCGTGTGTACACAATCAGCAGAGGGCAGCAGCACCTCTTAAACAAAACAAATAGACCCCCTCTAAGTAAAAGACATGTACACAATAAAATATATACATTTATATATACATACATACATACACACATGCATAGATATGAACATACAAATAAACATGTGTATATCCCACAGTGCGGGCAGTGATCATCGTCATCACATCATCATCATCATCGTCATCTTTCTCATCTGTTATGCCTGTCTTCTCCTGTTTCTTGCTCAACACAAAAAATAATAACAAAAACAACAACAATAACATGCAAACAAAATATATTGCTCACGAGCGCTCTCTTAGCGGGCCTATTGGCATCTCGCTTGCACGCCTTTGAGCTATAGCTTAAGTAAATTTCTTTGCTCACTTGTTGAAATGCTTCCCGGAGAATGAGGAAGTTTCTGTTCTGCTGCTGAGAGCGCGATGAGATAAATTTTAATGTACGAGCGCGTGCGTGTGTGTATGTGTGCTCATATGCATGTGTGTATGTGCAACTGGGCAATGCCTGAACGCGCGACTGAAATACAGGGTGCGCCAGCGTAGCTGCTTCTTGAAAATTGGCTTGTTGCTCTCTTTACCCACTGGCGGATTTATTAGTCGTCGTCGTCGTCGTCGTTGCGCCAACATCTTTCACCCGCTGCTGCTGCTGCTCCCGCTGCTACTTTTGAAACGAGTTTTGTGTATGGAATGTGCACTTCCGTTTGCTGTTGCCGCTGCCTTCGTCTGCTGTTGCTTTTTTTGTTGCTCTTGCTTTTGCTGCTGCTGCTGCAGTGATATGCCCGGCAAGCCTAAATGGGTACGGCTTTCAAGTTTCTTAAAGCACGCAGCACCTCCCACCTTCCGTCGCAGACACCCCAACCTTAACGGCTACGGCATCAATACATTCGTTTATGTTGAAATCTTACAGCAATCACGCTAAAGATATGCCTGAGTGTATGTGCGTGTGTGTGCTGGGCTCCGTGTGTGTCGATTTGTATATGCATACATGTATGTATGTATGTATTTGCTTGTCGGTGTTTGCTTTGTACACATCCGGAATAGTAGCGTCAGCGCCGAAGCCAGCGACGACGACGCCAACGCACATATTTATGGCAATTACCATATTGAGCAATTTTCAATTAAAAAGCTTAATTTTTTATTCGTAGATATATACATATGTATAGTATCTACATATGCTTACACATTAGTGAAAGCTCTCTTGAGTGTAAACAGACAGTAGTCCTGTTAAATGGAAAAAAATCCAGAAGAGAATGTTAGTTCATAGAACGCCGGGCAGAGAGTGATGTCAACGGCAGTGGTTTTGTAGCAAAGCTTTCACTTGATCTTTTCCTGCGGGGGTGTTTTTGAATGTGAGAAAAAGAATAGGAGCAAATGGCGATAATACAGTAATTGAGCGTTCATATGCGTGCATGTGTGTGTGTGTGTGTGTGTGTGTGTGTGTGTCTATGAGTGTATTGTGTATTGATTCTGACTCATGCCCAGTCTTCTGTCTCGTTCCCGCTTGCTCGCTCAGCTGGCTCGCGCCTGTTGCGCTGCCTGCTGAGCAGATTTGTTTATGAAGAAATCTGATTTGCTTGGAATGCGATTGAGTGCTATCTCTTCCGACGCATACAGGGTGATTTTGCACATACTCATATACTAATATTCAAATTTGTTTGCTCTCTTTACAGATTATTTTAATCTAGTGGCGTTTGCATGTCCAAAATGAAAATGCTTCCAGTACAGCTATCACTGAATCCGCTCAATCCCGGCATCTGGGGCGATGTCATGTGGCGCTGCCCCCCACCACCGTCCAGTCAGTTGGCTGAGCTCAAAACACAATTGCCCCCATCCTTGCCATCAGATCCGCGCCTCTGGAGTCGCGACGATGTGCTCGTGTTTCTGCGCTTCTGCGTGCGCGAATTCGATTTGCCCAAACTCGACTTTGATCTCTTCCAAATGAATGGCAAAGCCCTGTGCCTGCTGACCCGCACAGACTTTGGCCATCGCTGCCCTGGCGCTGGCGACGTCCTGCACAATGTGCTCCAGATGCTGATCATCGAGTCGCACATGATGCAATGGCATCTGCCCAACAGTCCCGTCACGCCCACCGGCCGCTACCCGCTGTCCCCGCACAGCCACCCGCCGACGCCCACCTGGCCGCCCTTAAACGCTCCGCCCGGCGCCGACACCGGCGGCAGCAGCAATCCCTTCCACAGCAGCAGCAGCGTGGCCGCCCACATGGCCGCCCACCACTTCATGGCGCCCAACTCGGTGACCCTCAGTCCACCGCCCTCCGTCGACTCGCAGGCCAGCAGTCCGCCGGAATCGGCGTCGGGATACTCGAGTGCCGGCGCCTCAGCAGCAGCCATGAGCAGCGCTGTTGCCGCAGCGGCCGCAGCAGCGGCGGCGGCAGCAGCAGCCGTTGCCGGCTCCTCCAGTGCGAGCAGCACCACCAGCAATGGGTCCACATTGAACGGCTGTGTGCAGCCGATGAAGGGCATCCAGTCCAGTGCCAGCAGCAACCACTCCGACTCCGAGGAGGAGTACGCTGAGTCAGCCAACCAGAGCAACAACAACAACAACAACAACAACAGCAGCAGCAACAGCAACAACAGCAACAACAACAGCAGCAACGGCAACAGCAACAACAAAGCTCTGCCTCTGGCGCCACTCTCCTACAGCGCAGGCAGTCCGCCGGGCACGCCCATTCACAAGGATATGAAACCCAACTGGACGCAGCAGCTGACCAACAGCTTCGTTAGCTCCTGGTCACAGCAGCAACAGCAGCAACAACAACAACAGCAGCAGCAGCAGCAACAACAACAACAGCAGCAGCAACAACAACAGAAGTTGACACTGGAGAATGCAGCGGGCGCCATTGTGGCTGCAGGCGGTGGCTCGATATCCGCCCCAACCACGCCCAGTTATATGTACAAAGCGAAGCGGGAGTTCTTTCCGGAGAACTCGGAGCCAAATACGAGTGAGTAAAGCTGAGAATTGTTGCAAATTTGAATTGATAAAAAGTTATCGATATAAATTGTTGATATGTGCATAGTATCGATCATAATTTGATATCTATTTCAATTTCGATTCCAATTACTATTTATCGAAACACCAGAGCTAATCGATATTTTCCATTGCCATCGATAGACGGCCGACTCCTGTGGGACTTTCTGCAGCAGCTGCTGAACGACCGCAACCAGAAGTACAGCGATCTGATTGCCTGGAAGTGCCGCGACACGGGCGTCTTCAAGATCGTCGATCCCGCCGGCCTGGCCAAGCTGTGGGGCATCCAGAAGAACCATTTATCGATGAACTATGACAAGATGTCGCGCGCCCTGCGATATTATTACCGTGTCAACATCCTGCGCAAGGTGCAGGGCGAGCGGCATTGCTACCAGTTCCTGCGCAATCCCACGGAACTGAAGAACATCAAGAACATATCGCAGCTGCGGCAGACGGCGACGGCGTCGGCGACGCCTGGCGAGCAGGTGGGCAGTCCGGCGGCCAGCAGTTGGAGTCAGCAGCAGCAGCAGCAACAGCAGCAGCAGCAGCAACAACAGCAGCAGTTGCAGGCGCAGCAGCAGCAGCAGTCGCAGCAACAGCAATCCCAGCAACAGCAACAACTGCAGCTGCAGCAGCAACAGTTGCAGCTGCAACAGCAGCAGCAACAACAGCAACAGTCGCCCCAGCGTCCCGCATCGCGAAATGCTCAGCCCATGGCACTGCCCACGGCAGCAGCTGTTGCTGCTGCTGCTGCGGCCGCTGGCTATGGACCGCAGCCAACGTCGCCGCTCTTCATGCACGCCTTTCACTTTTTGTCCGCTGCCGCCGCAGCGCCGCCGCCCAACTCACCTGGATCCGTGGCCTGCCTGACTCCGGGCGCCGCCGCCTCAGCGCCTGGCGACAAATTCCAATTCCACCCGCTGAAGCTGGAGAGCGCCAACGACAGCGCCGGCGAGGATCTGAAGCCCACGGACCTGAGCGTCAGCAGCAAGACTGCGAATGCGAATGCGAACGCCAATGCGAATGGCAATGCGAATGCGAATCTGAACGAGGACTGCTATCCGTAAGTGCAGATGCCAGTCGCTGCCCTTGCTAACCTTGCTAATTACCCAACTGCAACAACTCTATTGCAGGCTCATACGCAATGCGGATGGCTTGACCACCATTAAGCTGATACGCCAGTCGGAGCACAAGGCGGAGGCAAGCGAGCAGCTGACGGCGGCTGCAGGTGGCAGCCACAGCGCTGCCAACTCACCTCGGCCCATGGATGCAGTCGACCGGGAGAGGGAGAGGGAAAGGGAACAGGAAAGGGAGAGGGAGAGGGAGAGGGAGCGAGAGCCACAAGCTGTGCCCATGGATAGTGAATGCAATGGCAGTGAGGAGGCGGCATTTAGGCATATGCATTAGGCTCCACACAGACACACGCCCACACCCACACACCCACACCCACACCCACCCCTTACACCTGCTCTATGACAATCAGCCACAAACACAAAACTTTACCTGAGCAACATGAAAGCAGCTGCCTTAGGGGACCAGCCAACAGCACACTCTCACTCTCACACTCACACTCACACACTCATTAAATTGTTGTACATACCATACACACACACACACACGCACACACCTTTTGTATATGTGTGTGTGTGTGCTGATTAGCTTTTAAGCTTAGTTTAGATTCTGCAGCCTTAAATATTAGAAATTCAAAAAGAAAAGCATATTCTAGGCATAAGCTATATATAGTTATGTAAGTCACGCACACATACATACGCATGCAATACACATACACACACAAACACACCTGTATTGTAATTTGTTTATATATACCATATGAGAAATGTAGATTAAGTAGTTTCTTCTCTTCACTTTTGTATGTGACCGGCGCAGCGCAGCCTTTCAAAGTTTTACAGAGTTATGTGCCAATTTTCTACATATGCTAAACAGAAAAATTAAACGATTATTAAATTTAAATCAGACACACACACATACACACACACCTTAGTCTATAAGTGTTGTCACCTTTGAGCTTTACAATGTTGCCTCAACAAATGGTTTCACCCAAAATGGAAAACAAAATTGTTAGAAAATATACAAAAACAAAAAAAAAACAAAAAAAATATGAAAGAAAACAAGAAAAATTGTTAATTATAAAATTTATATATACACTGAGAGAAAAAATTCGTAGCCATTTATTTCAATGCAAACAAATTAATTGTGATAACTGAAGAAGAAGAAAAAAAATTGTAAAAAGAAATTTGATTTAATAACTGAAACAGTTTAGTTTATTTAGTTTGTTTGTTTTTGGCAAAGCAATTTCTATTAGTTCTAAAACATTGGCTTCCATTTGTAAACAAACACACCCACACACACACACACACACACATGCATATTTATGTACTTGTATTTAGTTTTAGCTAAAAGGAAAGCGAAAGGTGTTCATAAATTGATCTTAAAACAAAAACAACAACAAATGCAAAAACTAATTAAATTTTTTGTACATTTTCAAAGGCACTTTATTAATTATGAAATACACACACATAATTATAATTATAATTAATATACAAATTTTACAAGCTGTAATTATTAATCATTAAGTACATACATGCATACATTTATATATAGACAACTATATATATACACACGTATATATATATATAATTACTTTTAATTAATATAATTTTTGTTTGTTTTTCATTCGTCTAATTGCTTAAGTTTAAACACCGCCAATAGCTAATAATTAGCACTTTAGTGTCGCCACAATACCTGTTCTTCCATTGAAAAAATACCTTATCTTTCGATATGATATATATTTAAAAAAATATATATAATATATATATATATATATAGAGCATATTATATATGAAAAAAAAAAAAAACAAGTAATGAAACAAATTTATATATGCAATAAATAAATGAAATCAAAACTCTGAAGTCAAATGTTTCTATGAATACAATTTAGGAGACTTTTAGATCAGTTACTGATGGCTAAATTTTGTTTCTCTTTTCTGTGATTTGAATTATAAGTTAGACTGTCTCTCAGATCACTAAATTATAATAACTTTTTAAGTTTAGATCAGCCGCTTTAAGTGTTTTAGTTCAACAGATGATTATGCTAGATTTTAAATACTTTTTAGATCAAATGTTGATTTTTAGATGTGACTAATACTTTAGATCATTTATATCAATTAATTTTTGTGCTTTAGATGAGATACTGATTGTGTATTTAGATCACTTGCCGAATTGTTTTAGATCACCGTGTTTAAATTACTTTTGAAGTTTAAAACCGCTGCTGATTAAGTTTTAGATCTACGTCTTAAGTAAATGATGTCTTCGATAGTCTGTCTTTTAGATCTACCACCTAGGAAATTTTAGATCAACTCCTGATTGTCCAGGAACTCACGAATCATGTTGCGACACGACTTGAGCAACGCCTTGTTGCATGCCGCAGTGGAGGTGGCCTTCTGCTTGGCTTTCACTATTGTGCTGCCGCCGATTGCTGCCACGCTGTTGTTGCTGCTGCTGCTGCTGCAACTGGGCGTGGGTGGCGGCGTCGCCTTGGCTGGCGTCAGCGAGCGGCGCAGCAGATGCGGTGGGATGCTGCGTTTCTTCAGCGGCTGCGATGCAGCAGCCATGGAACTGCGCATCGGCTCCTTCGGCGTGGACTCCTCGGCGATGGGTTCGAATGAGGCGTCTGCTCCTCCTCCACCTATTACTGTGACTGTTGAGAGCGGAGGCGTTGTCTGCTTGATATTGGCGGCCTTGATTTCGTACTGATAGCGCAGCATTAGCAGTGCGGCAGCTGCCTCCAGCTCGAGTGCGCCATAGTTGTTGATGTACGGCAGCTTATCGGACTCCGTGTACGGCTTGCCCGTCTTCTTGATCAAGGATGCCATGCGACTCTTCATGTTGACGTTTGTAGTTGAACTGTCTATCCACTTAGCACTGCTCGCCCCTTTTATGCAAGCTCAGGGATTTACCTGGCCACCAGGTGAGATGGATTGCACCAGGCTACCTGCCTATTGGTGCGATTGGCTCGACCCGGGTCCGCTAATAAGTGGACTAATCCGCGGCAGCTGCCGTAACTTAGAATTTCTTATTAACAGCCAGGTAAGACATCGTCCATAATAGACCTTAGCCAGGCATATGTCGTATTTGGTCTATACCATTTTTAGGATCATAAACTTTAACTGGGAATCGCAACTGTTTTCAGATTCTCAAACTCCGTTCATATTGTCACCATTTGTCATTTACAATTTGAGTTTGTTCAAAGAATTTTAGATCCTAACTTAGGATTTCCTACTTTTCCCTTCTTATTTTTAGGTTTTCATTTGTTCCGCGCAGAAATCATATTGATATTCGCTTTTGAATATGTTCTAAAATTTCACTATAATCTAGGCTAAATTCTAGTTTTAAATTAACAACAAATATATGTGTAAATTTAAGGTGCCTGTTTAACAGATTTTATTTGAAGACTTTCATTTAAATGTAGGCTCTTAAATGAATCATTATGAAATATTTAACATGTATTAAATATATATATAGGATATATATTAAATCAAGTACATAGCTGTTCAGTTACGAATTAAATAATAACAATGATTTTATGCTAAGAGAAAAGAAAAAGAAAGAAAAGAAAATAACTGAGAAAAGGAAAAGAAAAAACTATTTCAACTTGATTACACGGTAAACTATATAGTCAGAGATAATCTAGTAAACATATTTATTCAGCTTGATTTGGTTTTATTTTCTGTTTTTGCTTTTACTTTATTTGCCTCTGTGAATCCAATCGAGCAGCTCTGATGTCTCAATCCACCATCTCAATTGGATGTTGACTAAAAATCAACGGTTTATTCCAAAATAATAAAATTAACACTAAATTTTTGTTGCATTGTGCCTTGGTGTCTGTGCTGCTCATGCATATACAAATGCACACACACATATATATACATATATACATATCAAGAAATATATATATGTGTATATCTATATATGCTTTTAAGATTTTTATGTATGTACATGCATTTAACTGCTGACATGGAACGTTGGGAGGCCCCGATTACGACGACGGCGATGACTACGTTGACAACGATAGCTTCTGGGTCCTTTCGTGAAATAAATATATACATCTGACTTGACTTGACTTTAGGGTCTAAGGAAAGAGTCTCTCGAGCACATCCCTAACTAGTATTACGCGTGTATCTCAAAAAGTTTGGCAACCTCATTGAGATCATCGTAGCTTTTGTTCTGATTGATTATCGTACGCGCCAGTCCAATACGATTGAATAGATTCCACAATAAAATGCCAACAATTTTTTCGTTCTGCAGATAGAAGATAACGCCCTTGCCATAGTTCGGCTCCTCGCTGGGATCGCAGCTCATCTCGGGTCCGGTAGCCGTTTTCAGCTGTTCATCAGCATTTGCATCCGCACGCACCTCAGTATGGCTATCCGCTCGCTTATCGTTGTTCGAGGGTATTGCGAAGACACCTACGGTGGGCAGCGAGGAGTCCACCAGGCCGATGCCCTCGTAGCCAATCTCTGGGCCCAGATCGGACCAGAACATACTCTGATGGGTGTACGGTTTCTCTGTGGATGAAGGCAATAGGTTCAAGTATTCTCATATATGAATATATTATTTTCCAATACTCACTCGCTCCAGTCATATTCTCGCCGGCTAGACGGCCGGAAACCACGGAATGATCGTGATGCTCGACACGTCTGCGTCCCAGCAGCGGATCATAGAAACAGGACGCATCACCGGCCACAAACAAATTGCGACGTGCTTCCAGCTCGGCGTTTACCACGAATCCACCCAGGCTACGATCGACTTCCAGTTTCGAGGCGCCAGCCATTGACGTGTTTGGCGAGCAGCCCACGCAGACAACCACGATGTCGGTTAGCAGAGACATGCCATTGTTCAGCTCCAGCTTCAGCTGGGACTCGTCCCGCGTGGCCGTGCGTATGCTGGCGTCGGTTATCACACAGACGCCCTGCGCCTTCATCTTCTGGGTTGTCCACTCGCTCAGATAGTTGGGCAGCACCTTGGACATGTTGCCGCTCTCCTGGAACACCTGGTACACCTTGCCTCCGTTGTTCTCTTTGGAGTAGTGGGCCAGCGAACAAGCTAGTTCGCTGCCAACGAACCCATTGCCGACAATCGTAATCGAGCGCTTCTGCAGCGCGTAGCGACGCAGACGATCAAAGTCATCTGGCGTGCGATAGACCATGATCTTCTCCTGCACACTGGGCGGGGCGTCGCGGAACATGGGCAGATTCTTGGGCGAGCAGCCGGTGGCAATTAAACACGTATCGTAAGTGATTTGATAACCGTCACTTAGTGTCACAATACGATTCTCTGCATCCACCTTCTTAACGGCAAAACCTTGAGCTACGGCTATGCCGCCGTTCACGCTTTCGTCCAACTTCTCCGGGTCCACAAAGAATTCCTCTGGCTCAAAGTACAAGCTGTCAGGCGGATATTTAAGTGTGAGTACAAACAGCGCTGCTTAGCGTATTCTCAGAGTTACTCACCTGCGCTCCGAGCCTGTCCACTGCTTAAAGCGATAATCCTTAATGGGATCCTCGTTCGGATTTGGTGTATACCAAAGCTCCTTGGATAGGGGTGGGCGCATATATGGCTTGCGAAACTCATTGCTGATCATCAAAACCTTGGCCTTGGCGTCGTTCGATTTGATGGCGCGGAACGCGGAGAAGGCGGCAGTGCCGCCGCCCACAATCAAGTAAGGAACATGCGCGGGAAGTTTATCTGAGCTGCTAGGTGCTGAAAGGATGCAATAGATCAGTGCCATAGATAAAGACTAGCTAGTCTGCCAGTTACTTGTGATGAATCCAGAGATTTTGGCTCGCTTTAAAGCATCCTCTGGGCTCTCGCCATCGCCCGCCCCGTCCTTGTTCTGACGTGACCAAAGCCAAGCGAACTGCAAGTGATTACAAACAGTTATTTATGATAGATTTCTAAGTATTTGGGGCACGTACGAGGCCTCCGGCTACAAGTGCCGCCAATGCACCAAGGATGCATCGTAGCTTTAGTTGTTTCAGCTTCTCTTCCGCCTTCTTTTTATCATCGTCCTCGCCACCCCCACCGCATGCATCCCCGCCGCCGCCACGTGCAATAGTTGTCTCTCGGCGCAGGCGATGGAATTCTTCGCAAGGATCTTTGCATATGTCATCAGATTTGTCCACGGCCAGCGCTGGCGGTTTCTCGCACTGAGAAGACTTCAATACCTCCTGGGCAGTGGATGACGGTCGGGTGTCCGCATAGCCCTGGAAGAGAAATCGCAAGTATTAGAGATATATTGCTTGTATAGGAGGTGCAAATCAAGTGGAATGAATGAATGATGGAATGGATGATACCACGCGAAATTGTGGTTCTTGTATGACAGCAGATGCGGCAGTGAAGTTGATGGGCGGGCTCTGCATATTGGAAGCAGTTGTGACTGCTCCAACATCGTCATCCATATCGGGTACGAATTCCACACTTTGGGCCACTTTCATGCAGGCATTCTGATTCGGATACTTATTGGCTTGTAATTTAGAGCGTGCCTCAAGCGTACGTTTTTTTACCATTTGATACAAACTGTTGTGTGCCGGCCGGCTGATGCCTGCAATAGAGGATACACATTTTAATACAATAAAAGTGATTTCAATCAAATTATGCTGCATGCCGGTCTACCAGTCGAGCATAACCTCACTCTTGCTCCCTCTGCTCCAGCGCTCCACTTACCATTTATCAGTTGGGGAAGTCGATGTACGGGTTGTATGATTCGTCTGCTGGCTAATATGTGCGCCTGTCGACAGAACTTTTGACACAAACATCTCACACTCCAAATGCTCATAATACCGTTTCGATTCGTATCGTTATGTGTTTGTCTCGAGGGGGGCAATAAAGGCAACAACAAGATTTTAAGTCTATTTGGGTTTTCTTGTGTAACAATAGTATAAACGTGAATGTATATATTATTGTTGAAGTAAATAAAAAAACGTCGTGTTTTTGTTCGATATGTGAATTAATTCTCAGTGAAAATATGACTCGAGTATCAGCACAGCTACATCTATTTTAAATGCGAAATAAGAAAGACTTTTAATTTACATCACACACATTCGGATCGGAATAAAACATTTGCACACACGCACGCCGTCTCCATGTACTGGCGCTTAACAACACTGTGCATTTGTCTCACGTACCGCGACGACCAGGGCTGGCGTATGTTCTGTTTCATTTCACAATTCAAAAAACTATTGTGAAGATTCGTTACTTTTGTTCTGGACTATGAATGATTTTTGTTTGCTTGTAGTGAAACAGTTAAGGCAATGTAGATCAGTTTCAGCCTTAACCTATTTGGCATCGAAACCGGAAATGCCGCTGCTACTAACCAACATCCATCTGAATAGGATTTCGTTCTCATGCATTCGGATCAAACACAAGGATTCCTACAGTTTATCGTATCAAACTCGAATCTTTTGTGCAAGGCATTAAATTATTTATTGACGGCTACGTCGAGTACATTGGTATGTTTACTAAATCTATTATTTATCAGCCACAATTTCCATCTTGCTGGCAGCAGCAGCTGCGCCACTCACCGGTGGCTTAATACCCATCAAATTGCAGAGCTCATTACGCAACGGGCGTACCTCCACCAAGGGCAATGTCCAGTCCGCTTCCGAAAGCAGAGTCAAGATCTCATCCATGTTCTCTTCGGGTATGTCGGTGACATCGCCGTGCAGCGCCAGAGCTTCGTAGAGCTTGGTTGCCGCCGTCTTGCGCACGTGCACATGCTGTAGACCGAGAAACACGGACATTTTGGAAAGGATTCTTTTGCTTAGCCGGGGAACTTGAAGCAGCTGACAAAAGGTGCTAATACTGGTGGCTGTCTTGTACAGCTTCCTGTAGCCTTTGACCTCCAGATTGAGTAGGCGATAAATGTCTTCGGCGAAGGGATTATTCTCATCATGCAGGACCAATTCAACACTGCCCGAGCCGAGGAGAATGTCCAAGAAACTGAGCATGGGATAGGTCACGCGCTCGTTCAGGAGATGGCACTCGAAATTCTGGACAATCTCCGAGCAGAGCCGCGGCACCATCTCCTGATGGGCACGCAGGAACTGGAAGAGTGCAGCAGAAGCGTATTTTATCTGAAATAGAGATAAGACATTGATACTCTTTCAGCTCAAATGTATTATCCGATTCTCACCAGAGATTCGGTCAGCTGCCCAATGCTGGCTGAGAGGCCAAGCAAAACGCGCTTCGAGTAGGCCGGCAAGGCGAGCAGCTCGCAGAATAAGGGGAATGTCTGGTCAGCGAAAAGCCACAGGACGGACTTCTCGTCTTTTGGGAAGATCTCGAGCAGTCGCTCATGGTCGCGAATGTGAGGAATGGCGGGCACCCAGTGGACCAACTGGCAACAGAGGCGGCCAGCCAGCCCGCGTGTGCGATCGATTTTCTCCACTGCCTGCTGCATAAAGCCAACCACAATTTGATGCACTTGGTGTGGGGATAAGAGATCTGCTGGACACTCCGTGGCCAGTTCGAAGAGCGCCTGCATTGCCGCCTCGCGCACCCAGGCGCCAATATCTCCGCGATTATCCAAGGTATACTCATCCAATGCACGCAGCAGACAATTAATCACTTTATCAAAGTGCACCCGGTCTGCAAATGAGCAGTTCACGGACGAATCGTAGCCAACCGTCTTGACCACTTTTCTCAGCGCTTGAACGCTACGAGTGCGCGCCTCGCTCCATCTGTGGGTCTGCGCCGGCTCGGTATCATCGCACACGCCTGGAGGAACCAATGCGTGATTTACTAGACTATGCAATATGGATGTCAAATGCTGTCGCAATATAAAGGCGGGCAGCGCGCCCAATGCGGCAATGTAGCCCATGCGTATGTACTCTTCCAGGTCGCTGTCAGCGCCTATCAAATATCTGTGGATAATGCGCGCGTTGTCAGCTGAGCGGGATTCCAAGCAGTAGAAGGAGAGGCAGAGCTCCGCAAAAGCATCGACAGCAGCGTCGCGAATGTTGTTCGTCTTGGTGATGAGGCAGAGCTCAATGACGTGCTGCCAGCTGGCTGTAATGAAAGGCCAGATGTTTACAATGAATATATCACAGTACATATATGTATGTGCTCCACATACCTAGGCACTCCTGGGTTACAGGCAGCTGGGCCACGCTGCAGTTACGTATGAAGCTGGCTGTGCTAAGCTTCATCAGTTCGCCGCTCATGCCTCGATAGAAGTTGCGCTCCACAAAACTCTTAACTAGATCATTGAGCTCAGCAATGCGCTGGTTGGATAGGTAGGTCCCCTTGGAGTCTGGCGCCCTTTCCAGCTGCCTTAGGGCCAGCGTTATCTCGCCCATGGCCAGCACGCAGCCATGCCTGGCGCTCACGTCGATCGTCTCCGTTTTGGCCAAGAGTTGAGGAAGGACGACGGCCGCCATGTACTCGGGTGCCCGATAGGTGAGCTTGTGCAGCGCCTTGGCTGTGAGCTCCCTTATGGCTGGATCCCAGTGGCCCACCTTGCGCTGCACCAGATGATCTATGAGAGGCTGGCGATACTCTTCGAATTGTGCAATGAAATCGCTAATGGACAAATACGAATTCTGTCGTATGCCCACGGAGTAAAAGTCCGTGGTTGTGGATATCTCAATGCCATAGGGAAAGTTGCCGAGGCGTCCGACGCTCTCTTGAAAGGCAGCTGAGGCAGCGCGTCGGCAATTGATTTCTCTGTCAAACACAGCCACAGTGAGCAGACCGGATGAGATTTGCTGGACGAATGGCTTCAGATCGTCCGGGTTGTAGGCGCGAGCAAAGGCCCAGCACATGTAGCATGCAGCATCCCGAATGTGCTGGCCGACGGACATGTAGCCCTTCATCTCGTCGTAGAAGAGCGCCTGCATCAGCAGCGGCACAAGTTCGTGCAGGCGATAGGGCAGGAGTAGGCCCCTCTTGGCTAACTCTGCTAAGGCAAGGCAGCCGCCGTGCCACGCCTCGTGCGGCTCCAGAGGATTGAGTATGTCTATGACAGAGCCAATCACCTCATCAGCCAGCTCCTTGGGCAGGCGATTGGTAACTCGACCCAGTCCCTTGGCTGCACTCCAGCGTATATCGTTGCCGCCACTGCGCAGCGCTTGGAGAAGCTCCTCTATCACCTCCTCAATAGAGTCGGGGACTACGATCTCCTCGGCAGCGGCGTCATTCTCAGGCTCAGCCTGCACAGTCAAGAAATCGCCCGCAGCGTTTGGCTGGGCAGCCAAATTGCTGGCTAGCGAGCGAGTGCCTGAGGAGGAGAAATCTTTGATTGCAGAAGGGTTTAGCTATTGATAAATTAGTTTACCTCTCTTGTAGCGCCAGCTGGCGATGCGTGGCTTGAGCTGCACCAAGCCCAGTCGCTGCACAATCTTGATATAGTATTTATATTTGAGGAAATCATTGACATCCTTGTACTGACAGCCCAGGATCCACTGGAGCAGCTTGTCCGCATAGGGCAGCAGATCCTCTCGCTTGCCATGCTTCAGTATGGACGCAACGGCAGCCAGCTGACCAAACTTCACCTGCAAGGTATCCGCCTGGTGTTGCTCGATAATCCAGTCGAAAAAGCGCTCCAAGTACAAGTCCTTGATGTCATTGCGGACAAAGTACTTGGCGGACAGGTAGGCGGCCATATTGCTGCAGGTATCGTTGGAAGAGACATACAGCTTGCACAGCTCGTAGATGCGCTCCATTTTGGGCATGGCAGCGGGAGCCAGTGGACCATCATGGTTACAATTGTTGAGTGGCAGAGGAGTATCTGCATCATACGCATCCAGTCGGGACATGTGAAAGGGATTCAGAACCAATATGGACATCCAGAGGAGCAGCATATACCGAGTCTCCCAGTTGCTGAACTTCTTGGGATCCTGCTCGCTGAGCAGCTGCAGCACAAATTCCAAGTCGCTCAACTCATGAGGCATAAACTTAACCAAAACTTTATATGTCCGAACTTTGCAAATCACGTATAAGTACTTAAAAGCAGCATCACGCTCCCCAGGTTCTTGGTTCGGCTGTCTTATTTTGTTTAATAGCCGTGTTAGTAGGAGCTCCAGGTGGGGATCGAGCAGATGCGGCTGCTCTTGGTAGCGGGAGAGCACCTCTGTGTATTGCTCAAATTCCCGTTCGAAAGAGTTCGCTTGTACCGACTTCATATTATCTATGAGCGCGAGGACTTGCTCCAGTTCGGCAAAGTGCTCCAGCGTATTCGCAGGCAAATCATCGTCCTTAACTTCGTCGCTTTGCTGCATCGTTCTGCTATTGCAATAAAATTGTAAATTATTTGAACAGCCGGACGAGCAAATCAAGTCGAACTTCACCTTTAGTTTCGTTCACTGTTTCAGCTCTGTTTCGTTCTAGCTGTTTCGCACTCAGAGCGGTCGCTGACAGGCCAGGGCTGACAAGTAGTACTTTGGTTTATTTTTGAAAATTTAAGAAAGTGCCAAAATGATGTGACAGAGATTCGTTTATCGATAACATAAACTATTTGTTAGAAAATTTGATCATTTGACGCCGTTATTTTTCATAATCATACGAGTCCTTTACCATCGTAAAGTGCAAATAGTGGCAGCACTGCAGCTCGGTTTTATTTCTGCTGTTCGTCGAACATATGATAGAGAACGCGGCAGCTGCTTTTCCAGGGCTGGCAGCCGGCTAAAAAGAAGACTCAAGAAAGCAAAACGGTTTATTTTTCGACAGTTCTGAATTTTGTTGCTCTGATTTTGAATTCAATTGTAAAAAAATTAGTTTACGAATAAGATATAAGAAAATAGACAACTTACGATTGTTGCTTCATACGGACGCGGTAACGCGTGCTGCTCGCGCTGCTGAAACATTGTGTCTTTGGTAGCCCTGACGCATTCGCGATTTTGTTTACACGCTACAGAACCTTGTATTTTACGCTGGTTTTTGGTCCAGCTCTTGAAATGAAATTGGATAACTTTCGGCTGATCGATGAAGTGCGAAAGCGTCGTGCTCTCTGGGACTCAACGATGCAGCACTGTGCACGCAAGGATGTTGGAGCCCTGCAATGGCAGGAGGTAGCAAACAAAATGAACCTGGACGGTGAGCTAAATGAATCCAGCTGCATGTTTATCCTGCTTTAATGTTCATATCTTTATTGTTAATATATTTGTACAGTGCTAACGTGTAAAAAGCGCTTCAAAGGATTACGTGATAGCTATCGCACCGAAATACGGAAAATACAGCAAAAGCGTATCCCAAACTCAAATTGGCCTTATTTTCGTGCTTTGGAATTTCTGCGCGATATATTCGATCCGGATAAATTAGTTTCCTTCTCACCAGTGCCGTTTGACATAGACAACGATTTCTCAGACTTTGAACAAAATAAGCTGGATGACTTTGTTATTGACGTCGATAATGACGATTCCTTCGACTTCGATGTTATGGGTGATATATTCAAGCGGGATACAGTGGACTCACAAATCCACGATTCTAGCTCCGAGCATTCGGTGATCAGAAGACAAAACATTGATGTGCCGAATACATGCACCACCATGAATAGATCAGACGTGGAAACCTCACCCGGACTGTTATCTCCCTTGCTGCCCAAAGCGAGAGCGGCGAAGCGTGCGAAACGTCGAAAGACATCCTCGTCCACTGATGGAGCTTATCAAAATGGCCATACGACGACAAACACAAAGTCGACACCAGTGCCTGCTACAGCGGATTCAACTGCCAAAGATGATCCCGATTACAATTTCCTAATCAGTTTGCTGCCACATGTGAAAACGTTATCTAGTTTAAACAACATGAAATTTCGTACGGAGGTCAGTCGAATGCTGATGGAGATGAATCAGCAGGACATGCAGTCGACGGAGCACTTGGGTGCCTCCAGCTTACCAAAACTAAATCCAGCATCATCAGCTGGTGTTTATAATCACGAGCATGACAGTGACACTACAAAATATAGTACGGGGACTGGCTCAATGAATGGAAGCGCTTTTCTCGCTCATAGTTCGATGATCGAGTGTGATGTTAAGATCGAGAACGAGCCCCTATATTGAGGATTGAACAAGAATTTAGATGTAAATACATAAATCCTAGACCTTAAGCTATAAACTCGCAATTGGCTGCATCCAAATTTTAGTTTTACGGCGTAAACCCAAATATTACAAAAACTGTGTCTGTATCTGATAAATGGTCCCTCACTACGCCACTACACAAACACCCATATTCTTAATGCGGTAATTATTTTATGGAATAATACAAATGGAATATAAATTGCTTCTACTTTGAAGACTATATTTCCTTCATATAACTGTTAGTTATTTATACAAAATAAATGTTAGGAATATAAAATTTTTAATATGTTTATATCATGCTAGTTTTTTCATGCTTCAGTTTTCGAATAAATTTTATTATATGGAGGTATTTCCCACACATTAAATATTTCGATTGTGCGCCATTTACTGTGAATGCCAAAGTAAGATGATGATAAACAGCTGTTGCATTTCGAAAACCAAATCCTTTAATTATGTATATATATATTTAAACGGCGCCTTGGTAATGCAGATATTTCTAGATTATAAACATATCATTGGTCACACACATTTTTGTTATATTTTAAAATCCGAATTGCTGAGATAAATAATGTTAAATTATTAAAGATATTTAAAAAAAATTTCTAATATAACAGTATGTTTTGATTTTTGTGTGCATTTTTTTTGTTATAAATTGGTTTCGGTCTTAAAACAAATTTATCGATAGTGTTTCAACCGTTGTGAATGGCATAAGAAAACGTAGCACAGTGAACGGTACGTGAGTCAGCTGTTGCATTTTTTGTAAAGCCAAAGTGCCTGTGAGAATATTTTCACGAAAGTTACCTAGTCGACTGCCATTCCATTGTGTTCCGCCCAATTGTTCACTTGCTATAGCGCTCTATTAGCACAAAAATGACAGATAGTTCAGATGAGGAATATCTGCACACCGAATGGGTGCCTTACAGCGAAAGACCCGAATGGTCCGATGTGAAGCCGCTGCCACAGGACGATGGACCCAATCCAGTTGTTTCCATTGCCTACTCACCCAAGTGTGAGTATTCACTTATATTAAGCCAAAAGCAGAACAATTTGAATAATTTTATTCTGCATTCCAGTTCGAGAGACATTTGATTATATGCGCGCCATTATTGCCAAAGGTGAAAAATCGCAACGTGCCTTGGAGCTGACAACCGAAGCGTTGCGTCAAAATCCAGCCAATTATACTGTGTGGCAATATAGACGAGACATATTGCGTGAGTTGAAAGCCAATTTGCAGGATGAGTTGGAATATCTGGATGAGGTCATTGGACAGAATGCCAAAAACTACCAAGTGTGGCATCACAGGCGGGTCATTGTCGAGATGATGAATTGCCCCAAGTGGGAGCTGGAGTTGACACAGAATGCCTTAGACAATGATGGCAATGCAAAGAATTATCATGCTTGGCAGCATCGCCAGTGGGCCATACGTACATTCAAGTAAACCCAATTCGCAAATATTTTGGAATTGATATACAAATTGTAATCATTTGTCTTTTAGTCTCTATGACGACGAGCTGGACTTTGTCGACCGTTTGATTTGCGAGGATCCACGTAACAATTCGGCCTGGAATCAGCGGTTCTTCGTGCTCAAGCATTTTGGATTCACTCCAGAGGTTATCAAACGGGAGGCCGAGTATGCCATGGATCGCATACGAGTCATCAAGAATAACGAAAGCCCATGGAACTTTTTGGTTGGAGTCCTGCGACAAAGCAAGAGTGGAAAGCTAGATAGCCTACCGGAAGTAGTGGAGTTTAGTGAGGGCTTGTACAATGCTGGCAATCGTTCGCCCTATCTGCTAGCCTTCCTCATCGATCTCTATCAGGAGCAGGCGCTGGATTCAAAGCAGGAAGACAACAGCATTGCCCAAAAGGTTTATACGCTGTGCGACGACATGGCCAGCAAACATGATGTTATACGTCGTAAATATTGGCAGTACGTGGCGTCCCATTTGAAGACGCAGCTGAGCAAGCAGACGGAAGGAATTGATTAGTTTTATATTCATATACAAAATATGTTTGCGTTTCTGCCCTTCAGGCATTATTTTCTTAATATACAGAAATACATACCATGTTAGACCATAGACACCGCTCATAGAATTCTAGTTAAGTTATTTAAGTTGTGCTGCAAGGTCTCGCCTTGTTTGAATTGTTTACCGAGCTCCGTGTTGCTGTTTGTCCACGTAAAATTCATCATAAGATAATTTTGTTCATTATCTGAACGCATTTCTTATCAGCGAGCATTGCTTACAGTGGGACAGAACAGAGAGATATATGGAAAATAAACAGCGTGCATAGACTGACACTATCGTGGACTATGTCCTGTTGGTCTGCATCTTTATCTGTCTGTTCAGCAAAAAAAAAAAAATGTTAACTTTCTGCTGACTCAATATTTTTATTCATTTAAATTTGCTTCTTTCAGTTTTTATTTATTTATCTTTTGTTTTTATTTTTTAGTTGAGTACATACATTATAGCAGTTGGTAATATATAACGTTTTTTTGTTATTTTCTTTGAATTTGATTTTCTTGCGTATATATTTTGTTTTTAGTTTGTTCAGAATGGAAATTGTTTTTAGATTTGTTTCGTTTACTTTTGTTTTGGAATAGGCAAAAGGCAATTGGCAATTGAACAATTTTGGGATTAGAAAAACTTAATTTCGTGTGCTCTTTGCCAGGCATTCAGTAAAATACTTTAAAATAAAGCAGAAGACATCTTTGGCGTGTTTTTTAGTATGGATACAAAATATTGTTTTCATTTTAATGTATATATACATATATATAGGAGTATATATATATATATATGGAGTACTCTTTTGCATAGTTTAATAAAATTTCGTAATAATAAAATATATATATATATATTTTTTTTAATATTATTTTTTTAAAATTTTTTTAGTCTGCTCAAAAAGTATTGTGAATTTTAGGTGTCTCTTTGTTTTAATGATTTCAATTGTTTATGAATATATATTTTGTGTCCCCTTTATCAAACCCTGTGAGTTCTACATGGGTTAAACCAGATTGGGGAACTATATTGACTAATGCACAACAAGAGAGGACAAATGCAAACTAGTTCAACGGCTGTTTAGTTCAAATGAGTAAACATAATTCTCAAAATTTCGAAATTCTAAGTTGAAAAAACACTAAACCAGAATACAAAATCTAAAACTCAAATTTCGTAATACTTTTTGAACAGACCTCGTATATAAATTTGAAAATAAGCCTATTAAATTCAAACATACTTTCAAAATCAAAGCTATTTAGGAAATTAGTTTTAAAGACAGTTCAAATATATCTATATATAATATAGTTTAGAAAAAAGTGTAGGCTCACATTATAAAATATTTAAATTTTCTTTTCTTTTACTACAACTGATTCATGTCGCTCCCGAGTGTTGGGTGTGCCAGAGAAAAAGTTTTGATAGTTATTTTTTTTTTTAACAATTTGATATATAGAATATCTATATGTATACATTTGAAATAATGTTCGCCTTTGGTTTGAATTACATTTGTGTAAAAGCATTTTTAGCAAAAAAAATTAAAAATTTCATTTTGTTTCATTTCTAAAATCTGTTTCATCAGAATTTGTGTTTCATTACAAATATTACTGTTTTACTTCATTCTTCTGTTACTCCTTTATATTATATAAAATAAATCATTTACCAACATTTCGGTTTTTCGTTTTCTGCGCTTTGTGTGAGGAAGCTTCATATACCATCTATAAATATATGTATATGTATATGTTCATATATACTATATAGATATACATTTTAGTTTTCTTTTGTTTTTCATATAATTGTTAAAAAATTAATGCCACTTGTGCCACTTGCTATGTTTTTATCTGAATATATATGTATGTATGTATGTACGTACAATCGACATTTGCAACTGTTCTTGACATGGACATGCATGTACATATACATACATATATCATTCAATACCAATCAATCTGTAACTCTCTCTAATGTAACTCTGTCTTTCTAACTCTTATGCCAGCTCTTGGAGCTACATCGTCCTCCCTTTTCCTCTTTCTCTCTTTGTCTATCTCTCTCTCTCTCTTTTTGCCTACTTATCCTCGCCAATGCCCTCGTCGGTTGTTGTCTTACGCTCTCTAGCCTCATCGTTGCTGATATCACATTTTTCAGCCAACATATCCTCGATGCCCTCGTCGTCGACGGCCTGGCTCTCGCCGGGTATATGCTTGCGCATAGGCAGCATAACGCACAACTCATCGCCGTCCTGAGGTAATGGTGGAAACTTGGCATACGAGGTGTTCGCAATGGTGCCCACCGTGCTGTCCTTATAGCAATCGGGTGTCATACGCACACGGCATGTCTCGTAGGCCTTGACATAGCCCAGCTTGGTATATAGATTCCTGGACGCATCGTTCTGTGGACGTATGACAACGAACGGAGTATAGCCTCGCTCGATCACCAGCTGAGTCAATGACTTGGCCAATCGAATGCCATAACTGTTAGAGAAGTGAGATATATTAGATCACTATAGATCTATAGGTCAGAGGGAATGGCTATACCCACCCCATGCGTCGGTAATCTGGACGTGTTTGCATAGAAAACATAGCGCCGTAATACGAGTGCACCATCCATGCCGCCAGCTCGTTCGTATCCTTGCGATAGATGCCCAGTCCGGGCAGCACACGCACGAGTATATCGAAGAGCTTGACGCACTCGATTTCATTGGCCGGATATAGATCGTGTATGCCCTGAACGTTCTCCAATGTTAGCAAGCGCATTTCCGCATCGTCGGGCAGCGGCTCCAGCTCCAGGTCCGTGTTCAGCTTGTTGCACACATAGATATCACCGCTCAGTCGCTCCATCACTCCAATCTTCGAATAGAACTCATCCAGGCGATTCATAATTGCGACGTGCGTAAAGTTCAGGTACAATGGCTTTCGCCAATCTATAAGTACATCTTCGGTGCGCATCAGATCGACGTACTCGATGTGTGCGGATGGACAAAATATGCCAAACGTTTGGTATATATTGTTGTGCGGCTGCAATTAAAATACGAGATTTATATAATGCCGTATGGGTTATGGGCGTCGGCCCTGACTATTTACCGTTAGCGTGCATCCTGGAAAATGTAATATTATCGGCTTTTCGGGCCAATCTTTAGCAACATAAAACTTAAAGTCCCAAACACGATCATTCAGGTACGTTTTAATGGTTTGATGAAACTGCAAACGAAAAGATCATACAAGTTTTTCTTAGAATTTATTTATTTGAAGGGACTTTCGGAAAATCCCTTATGTGATTAGAAAATAATAAGGAAAGAGCTGTAAAGGAGAAAAACAATAATACAGAATAGTACAAAGGACAGAATTGAACTGTATACTAAGAAGAATATTATAATAATTGAAGGATTTTTCGTTTACTTTCTTCTCCTTCTTATACACACAAAATTACATTGATTAGCCTAAAGAGTTCGTTTAGTTAATGCTGACCTTATAGACAAGGTCTTTGTAATTTGCCAACCGCATAGCCTTAAGATTTGCATACAAAAATATTCACGTGTTGTTTTAAGCACGCCTAAAAAAATAGCGAATAGTTTTACATAAATGTTGAAACTTTGGCTGACGCCGAAACTCCAAAATTTCTTGAAGGCGAAAATAGTTTACTTTTGGGCACGCCCCCTTGCACAGTGCCAGTCTCATCCGCAGCCAAACTAAGCGAACCGCTTGCCGTTTGCAGGGCGCATTAAAAATTGAAATGAATCGCTCGTAGACAGTTGAAAAAGAAAAAAAATTGAAAAAAGAGGTCAACATCAGTCGATGGGTCGGCGAGATTGCATGACTCTGTGTGACTATGCGGTCTACCTGTTTGGGTGGCTTGCTGCTGGCAGGCGCTTCACACACACTCGCCCACGTCCACGCCCACAACAGGTAATTGTTGCTACAAATTACCAGAGAAGTGGGCGTGGCTGTCAGATATGGAGTCGTGTCAGTGGCATGCAACACAGGCTGCCTCAATATTTATGTGCATTTTGAGTGGGCGGCAATCGGAGGTCGAATATAGGTCTATAGGTCTGTGGGTCTATGGGTCTGTAGGTCTCTTCAGAGCTGTAGAGCCCGTAGAGCATTCTCGCTTACCTTTAATGATTCCGGCAGATAGCGCTCTAAAGTTACCAAAATTTCTGGAAGCTCTGATTCATGCACCAAACGAAAGTGTCTACCTTCAGGAATGATTTCCATTTCTGTAAAAGAGAGAAGAGAAGATAGTTCATAATGAGTGTAAAACGAGAATAAACGAGAATATTTCCCAAGCTGATTAATAGTACTTATATTCAGTTAATTGTTAGTTGTGCATTTCTACAATAATATCCATTTCCCATTTGCATTCCTTTAACCACCTACCACCCTCAGCTCTGGGTTTAGTATAACTTTCCTCCCTCATCTGATTCGTTAAATATTCATAAAGGGTTCAACCATCTGTTAACAATTAGGGAATTAGAAACTATTTAAATTTAAATTTTATTTGGGCAGTCTTTTCCACACTTAATAAAACATTAGCCTGTAATCCTCTTACGCTGCATAAATTTTACTTTTCCTTTCACTCTTGTAGACTTATATACAATTAAACACATTTATATATCCCACAGATGCTTTCATACTATACGCTGGAATTTATATTATACGTACATATAATATGTATTTATAGTCTACATATATATACTAGACACATTTTATTCACCATAATGGCAACTGCAGCTGCCATTAGCCTCTCTGCCTCGCATATGAGTCGCTTGCCACATTTTGCAGCATTAATAATCTCAAATATTTGTTTGCTTTCTCGAGTGCAATGGGTTATTTGTGTGCCCCCTTTTCTGCATCAAATACACCCACTTATTCGCTCTATGAAAGCCTCACGCTTTGGCCTCAATCAAGGCCAAAAGGAATGGATTATGAAAGCACTCAATGTCCTACAATCGAGAATAGGCGACTAGATTATCATCATCATCATCGAAACTTATTATTATTCATTGTCATTAGCATTGCCATAATCATTAGTAATACTATAAAATTATATATTATTTGTAGATCTTGTTAAAAGAAACTTTTATTTGATCAGGTAATACACTGATTACCCGCTCTCGGTGGTTACAGGGTATTTATTGCAAAATGTACAAATCAAATATGCAAAATAAAGAGTCAAGAAAATGCCGTTGACAGTCACAACATGCATGATAATGATGGCGGTGATGCTGATGATGAAGATGATGATGTTGTCATATTGGCTAGTAAAATATATGTTGATGGCCATATCCTTTAGATTTTTGGCATTACGTATCGAATATGTGAGCACATCCGTTATTGAGCCAATTTTCAAACCGTATTAGCTGCTATAAACCGCATACGTAACGAGCCATTTCCCCACCCGCAAAATAATATAAGCTGTTGACTGCAATGGCATGGAAATGTGTAACGAAACTCTTGAGCTTCTTTGTTTGTATTTTTTAAATATTATAATAGAAGTATATATTATACATAAGGAATATTGTTGGGCTACTATATTGCCCTAGACAAGTGCACAAATATTATGCAGCCAGTGGGCGCTGTAACCTTCTTGCTCCATTATAACCTACATTAAACCCAAGTTTATCTCACTTCAACACTTTTTTATCCCAGTTCCCATTTGCTTGATTGACAGGCAAGTCGAAAAAAGGGGAAAAATGCTGGTTGTTTGACTATTTGACTGATTGATGATGTGATTGATTGGCTCAAATGGCGAATATCATTCATTACTTGTTTTACTGGGTTACTATGACTATATTTATTACGGCCATTTGTGTTGTGTGTGTCGAAGCGAACAGAGCGAAGCAAACGTCCACGCCCCCACATGGGGGTAACTATGACGGACGCTAATGCCTTGTGGCTGATTTGTGGAAATTAGTATTTGTATTAGTCGTGTTCTTGAATAATACTTATGAATGTAGGTGATGAAGCGTGTGGGCTTCTTAAGGGCTACGCAAAACATAGCTCACAGGAGACAATGTGTGTAATGTGAGCAAGGCTTGAAAACACCGCGAACCCTGAACACAAGAGTTCCTAGAATGGAGTGATCGGCTTTGATCGAGTGGAAAACAACTTGTACTGAGATCTCAGGCCATTATGCTCGACATCCCATTCTGCCTGGTAAATCCTACTACATTATTACAAGCCACTACAAAAGATTGATTGACCTAAAATTTTAAAATATACCAGTTTCCCTTCTATATTTCTTAAAATACCTAGAGTTGTGGAATCGATTACCTGAACCGAACTACCCACATTTACCCAGTGCGTCTGCAGCCCTGGGGTCTCTATACGTCTGAGACAGTTTGCGAATACAGACGGCTGACTAAATATGCAGCTCAAAATACAAAATCAATATAATAAGTGTTTGTAATCTGTTGTTAGGCAGACAGCTAGAGAGAGGGAGGAGGAGAGAGAGCAAGGAGAGCGCGACACCCGATGGTCCCTTGAGCAGACACCGTTCGCATAACAGCTTTTTCGTTTGCTTATTTAGCCTTTAAAAATACCGTTGACATTTCGCAGCGGCAGCCGCAGCAGGTAGCAGACACCGCAGCCGTCTGGCGAATCGCGAATTCCCCGATAGTTCCATATCGTTGCCATTCCCAAATGTGGAAGCATCAATGGCCCCTCTTCCCGGTGAATCCTGTAGCACCCGCTGAGCGCATCGCGCTTGCCGGCCAATTAATTTGTTTTTTCCCCAATTACAATCGTGTAAGTGCCTATGAAGCGTTAATTTCATATACCCTATCAAATGGGGTATATGGCAAACACCAGTATTGTACATATAGAAAAGTTGCTGCTAAATTATTGTTAATAATATAATTTAATTTATAGAAAATAATCTTGCCCATATAAAGTATTAACATTAGTTAGAGCAACTGATATTTTCTATATTGCTCTGCAGCAAATATAGCTAGCTTAACCAACTGTTGCTTCATTTTCCACAAGCTCAATTATTCGCAGTTCAGCTAAAGGGTATTCTAAGTTCTATTGGCGTTTGATTTTGTCTCCTCTTCTTCATTTCTGGGAGACACTCGATATAAAAATATGTTCATGGGCGAGCAGAAATCTCTGCTTTAATTGACATGCACATGTGCACTTGCATATGCACATATACATATACTCATGCACAGGTATAGATGTATGTATGTATGTATGCGGATTGTACATATGTATGTACATATATGTATTTAAATACTTACAAAAAATATTAAATCCGTTGACCTTGTATGAATTTGTTGCTGTTGTTGTTGTTGTTGTTGTAGCGTTTGCTTTTGCGTTTGTGTCAAGCCGAAGCCAGCTGCTTGAATTAATTAGTTTTTATTTGAGCTTAATTATTAATTAGTTTGATGGCAAACAATATTTTAATTTTTTAAATTAATGTTTTGTTGTAGAAATTTTTTCGCAGTTTTAGAAAAAGTGCAGTATGAAAATAATTTTTTTTTTATATGCGAATCACAGATGCTCTTTATTAATATAATTGGTTGGTATTTAAATTGTTGAGTGCTAGTTTTTTTAGTTTTGTTGAAAAATTTAGTTGCCTGGTAGCTGATATTATTTATATAAACTTTTAGTTTTTTATAGATTGTAAATTGTATTTAACCGTTGTCTCGTGTCGTTTGGTTAGGCCCTTTATGAATGGAGGATGTCGGCAGGCTGCTCAGGAGCAAGAGCTGCTATGCGTATTTGTATTTGTATGTATATGTATGTCTATGAATGTATACGTATGTGCGTCTATGTTTATATGTGCATCAAAATTTCAAAGTACGGTATTGTAGTTGTTGTTGTTATTGCTGCTGCTGCTGCGACTCCTCCACAGACAGGCCTAACCAGCCAGGAAAGCCCGTTATTCCTTTTGCTTTTGTTTTTCGTTTATTATTGTTGCTTTTATTGTATTTGTATTATGTGTATCTTCGGCAGATACAACAACAAGCGTGTGCTAGTCCAGCATGGCGGCCGAGGACGTGCAGTAGTTGGTGATGGTAACGCTCTGTGCTTCTCTTCTCTCCGCTTTCTGTTCCTTCCAATCCTTCTTATGCTTGCTGCTGCTGCTATTGTTGTTATTGCTGCTGCTGTTGTTGCGTCCCACGCACACTGCACACACGGTACGGTACTTTTGAGCTGTATTGGTGCTTAGAAGGTATTTGGTTGTCCGTCTATCTGTTTCACTTGTTTTTTTGTTTTCGATTTATGTATTTTCACGAAAATTGATTTTCTGCTGTGCTGCTGCTGCTTCGGTTGCTGTTGCTGTTGTTGCTGCTGTTGCTGGCCTGGTTCTGGTTGCTGCTGCAGCTATGTGGGCTTTGATGGTCTCCTTGTGCGGCGCCTGCTTTTTGGCTTCAGTTATTTGTTTAGTGCTAGGCCCAGCCCCAAGGACGCGCCACTTGGACACACAAACACACACAGTCGCGCGCGGCACACACACTCAGAGAACACACGCACAGTTCGAGAGAAATTCAATTCGCCTAATTTAATTGTTGTATTAAGACTCTGTGGGCTCTGCCGTGGGCTACGCTTTTGATTCACTGCTTCTGCTGCTGCTGTTGTTGTTGCTGCTGCTGCTGCTGCTGCCCTATGCAGTGCGTTCCAAATTTGTTGTGGACTTTGTGTACTATGTGCGCTGCGCTTCGGAAGGCGTTTGGAATTCGCAGGAATCGAACTAATCTGACTGACTGACGACAACGAACTGATTCTGAATCCAAGGAGCAGAGCCAGATGTTGGCCCAAGTTTCTATATTTATGTATGTGTGGCGAATCGGCACTGCAACGTGGCAACGTCGTCAACATCGTGTTGCCGACATCTTTGTTGCTGTTTTTATATTCGCATTTTGTTGTTGCTGCTGCTGTCGGCTGTCGGCTTTCGTCTGCAGTCTCGTCCTCGTCTCGTGTGTTGCGCTACCCCTAGCTCGAGAGTTTACGACTTTGCCGCTTGCTTTGTAACGCATTTTCCATCCCCTAAATACCTTAATACAAACATTTTCTATTTACCCAGAAAAATTATTTTCCAAGAATTACCATTGCATACTTTTTGGGTGGCAAACAAATTGCGAATTTATAATATCGAATTAAGGATGCATATGGAAATTTAAACTTTTTAAGATATCATAAAATAATAGTTGGAAATAATTCTTAAATATGATGTAGATTTTATTAATCAAATTCAAATTTTTAAAAATTGCATTACATGCATTTATTTATATTCATTAGATGTTAAGCGCATTCAACGTTCGTTCAGTTGCGTTTTTTGGTTATGCATGTAACAAGCACATTTATTTGCCGCCTGCATTTGTGTCTTTGCTCTTGCGCTCACATGTTGCCCGCCGCATCACAGCTGCTCTCTCTCGTTCGTTTACGCTCTCACACTCACTCGCACTCTCTCGCGACGGAATGAGAGCGAGCACAAGGTTCGGCATTAATGCTGCATGCAATAACATGCCAGAAGTGTGCGAGTTGCCAGCCCGCCAACTCTAACCCCCTTTCTGACTCCATAGTTTTCGCTTGGGAGTTTTGCGCTTTTGTTTTTGCCGTTTTCTTTTTTTTTTTTGGGCTGGCCACGCTGCGCTGCTTAGCGCAACTGTACACCCCAAAGCAGCAGAGTCAGCAGTAGCAGTAGCAGCAGCCGCAACTGGCAACAACAGCAAGCGGCAGCTAAGGCAATAGCAACAATAACACCGCTCGTCTTTGCATGCGTTTCCACAACACATTTGCCAAAATGGCTACGGCGTCAGCGCAATACGTATACGCCACGTAGCGCCGCCATCGCGACGTGCACGTGTCGCCGGCGAGTGGAATAGGGAGAGAGAGTGAGAGTAGAGATCCATGGCCCTTTCACTCACCTTTTTCTGCACTGTCTGCGCTCTCTATTAAGTGCTTCCCCCGCTGTCCCTCTCACTCTCTCTTTCTCTCTCTCCGTTCCTTTCTTTCTTACTCCACTTTGCTCATGCTCATTTGTTTTGTTTATGCCGCACAGCTGTGAGACAGCCGAAAATCATTTTAATCGCCATTTTTTTTGTCCGTTTAAAACGGACATGCACACAAACCAGGGATGGGGAGTTATTTTCAAGGTCGCTGCTGACTGTATGAGTGTGCGTGAATTGACATTCTTATTGGCGTCAAGTGGCGACATTCAAAACTATTTCAAGCCATAGTCAACCAACCAGTTACAGTTACAGTAATTAAAACGGACATATAGACGCGCCAAAAGTTCTGGGTGTTGCATTGGAGTTGGCAAGTAAGTTAGCTTGCCGGCCCATGCAACATGAATCACGCAAGCCCCACAGCACGCTAAATAAAAGAAATGGAAAAATGACGCCAGCTAGTAGCGCACACCGCACCCGTTCCCAACCCCGTTCCGCTTTCCAGTGGCAGTACTACATTTTTCTGCTGACAGTTCGCACCATGCGTGGTGTTGATCGATGTCTGTTTGTGTGTGTATATTTGTATTGGTATGGTTGTTATAACAGATACGCGAATTGTTATTCGATGCGCTCATTTCCAAGGAAACTTTAGCCATAAAAAGTAGGAACTTAACATATAAAACAACACGGCTGTGCAGTTGGGGGCTCTAGTTACAGCTAATTTTTTTTATCAGGTGTTTGGCATTTGCGCTAGGTGCTTCTCTTTGTCCTTCAACTAAAGTTTTTCAGCACTGAAAGAAAAGGATAATATAAAAACATATCAGCAAATGTGATATCGATAAGTATATCTTTATTGTTGAGCAAATATCGCATATATTGTATGATAATGAAATTTTATGAAGATCGCTCACGAGTCATGCTATAAATTTTAAATACCTTCGATTTCGTTGAGTGTATAGCTAAAAAGTGGGCTGAAATTTATAGTGCTGTATTTGCTTATTAAATGCTTTGCCAATTTTTACAACAGACACACATTCACATTTGGACATTCCACGAGGGCCCCAATTGACCTCTGTTGACAAACTGGCAAATGGCAAGTCAAAATGGCGACCAAGGCCGGCCATGGAGTTAAACAACGCTGGCCTTTAATTAGCTTTGCCAGCAGTGGCAGCAGTAGCACCAGTGCCAGTAGCAACAGCAGCAGCCGGATTACTCATACGTAACGTGGTACGAGTGAGTGCGAGAGAGCGAGTGAGTGAATGAGACCAAGGAGTAGGGTGCGACGCCTATTTCTGCCCATTGTTTCAATCGACTCCAATGCAGTGCTTGTGTGGTCAAACGTGCATTGAGTGGCACGTGGCACGGCACATTCAAAGCCGGCTCAGAGGCTAAAACAGGCTATGTTAATGTCAGGGTCAACCTAGTCGCAGACATGCATCGAATTGACTATATTATTTAATCTATTCAAATTAGAGCAGGTAGTTCCCGTTCAATTCCTCGAAACCTTTAGTTAGTTCACAAGTTCAGCTGCTTGTAGTGGAGTATTCTAGTTAAATTTGCTGAATACACTAGCTCAACCGTTTTCAGTTCAATTTGATGAATCAGCTCAGTACTTTGCTTTGAAGTTGTTAACTATTTTTTTTATTTTTAACAGCTTAAAAGCTGCAGCTGAACAAATCATTTAGTTAGTGAAAAATTGGTGATTGGTAATTGAGCAATAATATATTGCGAACAATTGTCTTCACTATTTCACATTACAACACTCACTGAACTGATTCAGTAGTTCACTTATATGAGCCATACATATTGTGAACGCAAAGTCTCAACTCTACTTCGCATGCCTATAATAAACATAAATCAAGGAATTATATTATATATACATATATAAAAAGTACAGTTTTACATTGTTGTTCATTTTTCCGCATTATTTAAGAGCAATTGACAGCGTCGACAGCTGCTTTGGGGACACAGCCAGATACCACAATTGTCGACCTTGACTTGCCAGTTGACAATTAAAGTTATTTTCATTTGCTATTGGGGACATGTTTATTTAACGACAATATGGTCAACAAGTAAGAAAGCTCTAGTCGAGACTGCTCGACTACGAGATCCCCTGAAC